AATTCTTATTATTTGATATATCTCTTTTAATTTGATTTCTTTAATTTAATTTAAATGATATGTATTAAACATATACAATAGAATTAAATTATCCTTGTTATTCTCCGATTTATGTATATATATATATAACATTCGACTTTCATAACATACAGACTTTCACAAAAGAAAAGTATAGAGTTTGATATAAATTTAATTTCGAAGATATAAACACTTATAATTACTATTATAAAATATGAAACTTTATAAATTAAATTATGTTATTTGGTTTCGTTTTAAAATAAAAAAACGGTATATTTAATTCTCTGTATGATAATACTGGAATTAATAACAAAATAAACTCGCATTTCACAATTACGAGTTTCTGCTAACTTGGGCCATAATTATAGCAGGATTACTTTTGCCCTGCTTTCCAGTAATATTTTAATTCCGAGATTTGAATAATGAATCATAAAGTTAATTTTAAACTGAAGTTTTATATTAATTGCCATATGCATTATAATTATAAAAGATTTTTCCTTCGAAATGATAAAAAAAATATTTACGTAATAATTTAACTATATATATCTTTTATTGATAATTCAATTATAATTATCTTATATTTTATACTTAAGACAAATATCTAATACAATTATAACGCAAAAAATAATATATATATATATATTATCTTAAAAGAAGATATAAATTCTAATATCAATTAGATAACTCATCGTACGTTTCATTTTTTACGAGTAAAATTTAGATTTATCTTTACAGTTATCATAATCGATAATTTATCTTATATATTTTTTATTTTCAATTGATAATATATATTACTTTATCTTCTAATCATTTTTTAACAAAATTTCATATACAGTAAGCTAAACTAAAAAGATCATAACTTTTTCAAAATAATCCTTATTTAACGATAAAGTCTGTGATATCAACGTTTAATTTACCAAATCGTTATTGTTACGTTATTAAAAAATATTCGCATATAAAAAATTCATCGATTGATTTCATTTCCTCAAAACGATTTTATATTAAAAATTGAATTGGTATTATGTGCAATCCATTACGTTCTATGTAGCCACAAAATTTCATTAAAATCACAATTTTGAGAATTTTCGTAGTAAAAGTAGTTTACAAGCAGATTAATTTTGTCTCTTGGTATATATTCTTGTGTATACTTACTATTATGAAAGTATTAATACGATATTCAAAAGGATTGCGGTAAATGTACTTACTTGGCGTAGAACGAAAGGAGAATGTATCAACGATTATGAACTTTGTGCCATAATTGAATTATACTTCCCTTGCCATCATTTAAAGTTCCATTTCAAAAGTATCTTTTCCTTTATTTTATATCACATTTTTTTGCTTTCATAATTTTCAAACGACGACAAAAAAAAAATTTTGTAAGAAAAATATAGCGTGTCTCGGGATATTGAGAATATTTTTATTATTATATGTCTCGCTAAATCTGTGCAATATTTAGAGATATTGACAGGTTGATATATTGACAGGGACAGATAACGAGGCTATAATATAGAAATCGTGTCTCGTATACATGTGGCAATGTGAATGGAGACTGTTCATAGTGTTAGCAGAAACAATAAACTTAGAGCTCATTTCAGATCTTTGTATTGCATCGCCATATTGTCTGGCTACGTTATCTCGAAATGCCGAATTTCAAACACAATAATGTATCGATTTATTTATTTTTCCTCTTTTTATTATTATTATATTTTTCCTCGCACGCTTTACTTCTATCTATTATAATCCATATTTTATCGGCTCGTGATAATTGTTAAAAGTTTTTTTTTATTTTTTTATTTTTTTATTTATTTTTTTTTTTTTTTTTTTTTTGAGGGAAAAAAATTTCATTCCACATTCGTTAGCAAGTTTCGCAAGATTATTTCATCGTGTTATTATTTCGAAATTTTATCAGACCGCGAGTTTGTTACGATATCGATTAACATCGACCAGAAAAGCAATATATAATAAATTGCATAGAAATATTCGCCTATCGAGTAATTTTTCCAATTGAATTTCTATACATATAAACATGGAAAATAAAAAAATTGGAAAACTTTGAATAATTGCAAAGTTATTTATATTCGTACGTATTCGATGTCACGTGACATAACTAAAGGCCACACAGAGAGAAAATCTAAAGTAACATATTTATTTTACTTTATCTATTTGCATTAAAAAAATAAAATCTCCATAATCATTTTCATAAAGATTAGTTTTTAAGCCATTTATCTCTTACCACAACGATACAAATTCAAATTATTTGATCAATAACTCTTTCCAATTTTAATTGGCCCTACACACGATACTACAAAAAACTCTTTGCGAAAGCTTCAGCACTCAGAGCTTATTTCATTTATACGATCAAACTCAATCAGCAGGTGAAATTCACTGCAATTTAACAAGTTCGAAATCGTGGTCGAAGCTGTTCGAGAGGGTGGCAACACTTGCACGGCCAATAATGCGACCAAAAGTTAGCATTAAACTACTCGAACGACCATCAGCCATTCTCTCAGATCTAACCTATCAAGTTTGCAATCAACTTACTTCATTATCAAATTATACGATAATGTATCGTTTACCATACATCGTGCACAATACACGTAGCACTCTACAGCACGGATACATTCTACTTAATCCGCGGGATCGCGGTCGAAGCGGCAGTGTTGAAAATTGATAAATTACACGAGTGACGCGAAAGAGTAGATTTTTCTATTCGCGTTTCGCCTCGTTAGTATATCCAGTTGACTGACACAATCGAGAAATGAAAAGATTGCCGTGCAATATTAACCAGTCTAAAGATTGACGTCAACATTCACCTTGGAGCGTAATGATAGTACATGCGATTATAATGTTGCCTGTGTCTACTTTCTTTCAATGTGCCTCTCTCGAATAGGTAGTTATCAGTGCTGATTATTTGTTATTATTTCTTATTTACCGATAGATCAGCGGACAAGCCGGGGGGAAGAGATCGGAGGAAACATTTTTTCGAAAAATTGAGAAAATTATCGAATTACGCACTCTGATAGAAAAATATATATACGTTTTCAAACGTTAAAATATATTTCTATTCCATTCCTTCCTTGTGAAATTGTCGTCATTTTTCATTAAAAAAAAAAAAAATTGTTGCTCTCTTCCTCGATGCTTAATAGTAACTTTGCTCGATATGATTAAATAAGGGGTCAATTAATAATGTTTGCTTAATTCAAAGGCGAATCAGATACAACGAGCGAGGTAGTGTAATTAGAGGAACAGAGACAGGGAATGTGTAATTTTATTCTGGACTCGTATGGTTACCTAACAAGACATTGGCTTGTAATTATTGAGGAACGGATCAGAGATCAGATTGATAAATTAAACGGATAATTAAATGAATAATTCTCTTTCGAGAATTGTTTTTTTTTCAATGTATATCGTATATTGTATAGATTCGACATACGATATAATGACGTTGAATCCTCAGAATAGGAATATAGTATTTGAATATCGTATTGAATTAATTACTTCATCGTGCATTAAAACTATTTATTTTGTACTCGTTACAAAAAAGTTAATATTCATATTTTTACTTTTGATTTTTTTTCTTCTGTAACAAAAATTGAAATTATAAATAAAGGAATGGAATTATAAAAATCATAAATTACAAATGAATCGTCGTAAGAAGTTATTTCAAGAAATTTATTGTTGTATGAAATATATCATCTTCGTTATGATATATATACAAGTTACTTGAATTATGAGCTATTTACGCGAGAGAATAATCGAGGAAAATATACACGAAATTCAAGCAATTAAAAATAAAAGTTATTCAAGTTATCATCATCACGTAATTGTTTTATGTTGGAAATGTTCATTGCATGACCAATGCGATAAATTTATTCCCTATGTCCTCAAGTATAATTATCCAACAAATTTACAGAAGAAAAACTAAAAACCTAAAAACGTTACTCTCATTTTTCTCAAACGTGTATTGTTGATTAAATAATTTAATAATGTAAATTAGACGAAAAATTTCCAAATCTCTTCAGAGTGATTCAGAATTAATATTTTATTGCAAATTTAATCGTCGTTTCTCGAGGAAAGAATGCGTTTCGAAGAATTTCTCATTCCATGGGAATCACTTGAACACAATTTACGTCACGATTCGAGTAATAATACATTTTTGATGTTTGCAGATATCTTAAATTACATCTACAGTATTATTGTGGAATACAGTAAAATGTACGTCATTAAACAAATCATACATGTTATCTTATTATATAAAGGGTTGCCTCTTCATTGATATTTCAATCGTTTTTACTTGGAGCAAAAGGAAGGATCTACTTTCTAAAATTTCTTCAAATACACGTAAGATTGTAATTCTTTTTAAAATAAGGATTTTTAGCGTCTCTGTTATTTTCAGTGTTAACATTTGCTTAAAATAACACAACGAATTCTGTTTAAACGAATCTTTTTAAACAAAATATACAATATTTTTATTAATATGTTAAATAAATTACATATTTAACAGCGATATTAAAATAATCGAAAGTTCAATTCAAATGAAACTTAAATACTATATAATAAATCTGATTCTTATAATTATATTATAACAGATCATTCTGAATTATTCATAGTAAATAGAATTCAAATGTTCCAAGAATTTTTTATATATAATTTAGTCCCATCAACGATTGATCGAATGATAGAATAATATTCGAATATTTGTTATTCGGATATCTGAAAAAAAAAAATGGTCGCTCAACACTTGTAGCTGAATTAAGTTAACTTTGAGTCTTCACGACGACCTTGTAAATATCGAGGCGTTGTACAAAGTAGCTGGATAAAAGCGAGCCGCGGTTACTTTTTACTGACGAGATAAAATAAGGGTCGCTCGCTCGAGACAATCGACCCTGATCGCCATTCGATCGTAGAATGAATATTAACGCGGCACACACGAACGTGTGAAGGGGACACTAATCACCCTTGTCTCTCTCTCTCTGTTACAGATCGACGAGATGCCACTGTCAGAGTTCCGTAAAAAGAAGTTACTCTACGTTTTTAACACCTTCTTCGGTGAGTGTACACCGCTCTACTCTATGATATATTCCTAGTGTGTTTCACATCCGAAGCGTATATAATTGATTTTATAAAGTTTATTCATTCATTAACTGTATCTATATTTAGAAGTTTCGTATCCGCTCGTATTTCTTCACTTCCTATGAATTTATTACATTTAAATTATCGAATAACATTTTTGAAAACAAAAATAATAATCAAATGATCACGTTGCATTGATCTTTTCTTTTTTCTTTTAAACCAATCTTTCTTTCTACTTTCCTATATTTTTTAATTATAATATGATTCAAAACAAGATCAAGGCAACGTTGATTTTTTCCTAAGAAGCATTAAAGAACATTTAAAATATGTTTCTTATAACTCCAATCTTTCTTTCTACCTTTCTATATTTTTTAACGATTCAAAACAAAGAAGCACTAAAGAACATTTGAAATATGTTTCTTACAACTCCAATCTTTCTTTCTATCTTTCTATATTTTTTAACGATTCAAAACAAAGAAGCACTAAACATTTAAAATATGTTTCTTACAACTCCAATCTTTCTTTCTATCTTTCTATATTTTATAACGATTCAAAACAAGATCAACGTTGATTTTTTCCTAAGAAGCACTAAAGAATATTTAAAATATGTTTCTTATAATTCTAATCTTTCTTTCTACCTTTCTATATTTTTTAACGATTCAAAACAAAGAAGCACTAAAGAACATTTAAAATATGTTTCTTATAACTCCAATCTTTCTTTCTATCTTTCTATATTTTTTAATTATAACGATTCAAAACAAGATCAACGTTGATTTTTTCCTAAGAAGCACTAAAGAATATTTAAAATATGTTTCTTATAATTCTAATCTTTCTTTCTACCTTTCTATATATTTTAACGATTCAAAACAAAGAAGCACTAAAGAACATTTAAAATATGTTTCTTACAACTCCAACAATCTTTATTTCTAACTTTCTATATTTTTTAACGATTCAAAACAAAGAAGCACTAAAGAATATTTAAAATATGTTTCTTACAACTCCAATCTTTCTTTCTACCTTTCTATATTTTTTAATTATTTTATATTTATTAATTATTGTTATATTAATATTTTATTATTGTTATTATATATTTATATTATTGTTATATTAATATTTTATTAATTATTAACGATTCAAAACAAGATCAACGTTGATTTTTTCTTAAGAAACACTAAAGAATATTTAAAATATATTTCTTACAACTCCAATCTTTCTTTCTACCTTTCTATATTTTATAACGATTCAAAACAAGATCAACGTTGATTTTTCCTAAGAAGCACTAAAAAACGTTTCTTCCCAGCGCGAGACATTACACGATAAGTGTAGCAACCCGATTTCGCGTCAATCATCTCTCATCCCTAACCACAAATAATTATCCCGAGAAAATTTCACGGCCGACGTTCGCCAGAGCAGGATCTAGGCAGAGGGATATTATCTATGGGTCCCGTATACCTAAGCTCTCGCCGCGAATCGGCCATTACTTTTCTCCCTTTCATTGCCAGTTGCCTGGTAACGAAATAACCAAACCGATTCCTTCTCGAATTCGGGGGGAAGGGGGAGGGGGGCCAGCCAACATTCTTCTTCCATTCCTGGCCCCTATCGCGGTAAGCAACGCGAGCATCCTCCCAGCGAGATGAAATATAGCCAGGGGGAGGAAGAGTGGACAACATCCTCTCGAGGGTATTTTTGGCGGTGGGTTGGAACGGAATCGAGGACGTTTTGTTCTCTCTCTCTCTCTCTCTCTCTTTCTACGTGTTGGGCAAAACTAAGTCCGCCAGGACAGCCTATTTATGGTATGAACAGAAGCACATGGACATGGACAAACAATGGACGCGGTTAAAGGGGGATGCCTTGTCGAGTTGGAATTACACGTTCGCCCTGTAACACGCCTATGGGGGTGGAGGTGGCAGAACAACTTCCAGTTTCTTCGTGTACATGGTCAGTTATTTACGAATTTTTCGAGACGAAGAATACGAATAAAATTTTATAGAGTATCTTTATTAGAGTAAATTACAGAGTATTTTTAAATTTTATAGAGCATCTTTCGAGTACGGGGATGATAAGAGGGGGTTGAAGGATTGGAAACACGTGGATATGGGAGTAGAGGATTGTTTAATCCTTTAAAGGAATCAGAGTCGTTCCATGTTAAACGGAAGAATTCGTCTAGAAATACATTAGGTCAAAGTTGTGCGACGACACGAGGTTATTAATAATGTGTCAAAGAAGGTTGCTTCATAGACGCAAACCTACTACAACTGTACAGTATTCATTCATAGCGTGTTCAGTGTCATCGCGAGTCATTAACGACATGGATTACATTTATTCGAACGCGAGATATATCGAATGATGAACGAAGGAAAATTCGTATTTTCCATCCTGGAGTTAATATCGATTAGATATTTTTTTTTTTTTTTTTTTTTACCTCTTTCCATTAATATCTATCCGTAAAAGTTGTTTATTACGAAAATCTTGGGTTTCTTTTTATCTCTCTATACACAGCTTTACGACGACACTTGAATACGCGAATAATGCATGGTGAATGGCAGGTATATAAAAATTACGCGTTAGAGGATAAAACTCGCGAATAGTAAGTGTGCGCATCGGGAATCGCATTTAGTTAGTATGCCACTATGAGGCTGCTCGTATAAGAGCGTGGAGGTCACAGGCGTGTACAGTGTACACGCTTCGTGGCTCTCATTAGCCTTCCCTTACTTTCTTCCCTTCTTTGACCGTCGATCCACTGCTAAACATATCCTGCGGGGCTGTTCTTCGATACGGTATTTCACCGTGACCCAGAGAATCTTTGCGTGAAAACTAGTGGTTTGACGGTGGTCTAACGCGATAATTCTAATTCATTCAAATATTTCGCGCCTTTTACGATGGATATTATCCATCGTTTCGAGAATTACATTTTTTTTATTTCGATCTTTCGACATTTCGTTTCGATTTCGAATTGAAATATTAGATAAAATATGATTTTAGGAAATATGAATTTTTTTTTCTCTTTTTTGTAAAGTATATCGCTTTGAGAAAGATATAATAATTTTGTCTTATATTTAATTATTTCTACGAAGAATTTCTTAAAGCAGCATTACAATGCGTTCCAATTTCAAAGAACGATTTAACGAAGTCGAATATATGTGTTTGTTTTATGATAATAATCCAAGGAACAATGGAACATAATGGAACGCAAAGAATAAATGTATTAAAAAGACATGTTTACGTGATTATAAGAAACATATAAATGTATTCAGGTTTTTTAGAAATACATTTAATGTATCCACATACGTATTTTGACATTATATCAAACGAAACATTTCATCCAATTTCATAATTCTTCAACGAGCTTTTTAAAAATGTATAACAAAATTATTGAAATAATATTTAAAAAAGAATTTCTCTCAAATTCATATAATTATTTTAGAGGAATTGATCTACGATAGAAGAAAAGAATCTTTATTTAAAAAAAGTAGACAGACACGTTTAAATAAAACACCCTATTGATTCTACAACTCATTTGGCAAGCCTTAAAATGGTTAACAAACGAATTATTTTCCCGTAATCTCTACAAAAATTGACCATTTTACTTCTCTCGTTGAATTGTGATTTAGCACGAGGAGAGAAACGAAATAAGAGAGAGAAAGAGATAAAAAGATAAAAAGAGAACCCGAGGGAGAGGAAAACGCGGTGGACGAAAATAAACAGGAGAAGAGAAAGGATTGGCACGGTGAAATTAGAATTAATAAACGGGAAATCCGCGGATGGATGCCGGAGGGATTTAAGAATGGTAGGGGGACACCTGAAAAGGGGAAGAAAAGTCGGGATACGGAGGGATGAAATTGGGTCGACTTTGCGAAAACTAATGACGTCCGATTCAAACGGCGAGAAACGACGACCTTGCTGGTCGTGGAACGATGAATGGCGCGATCGACGGGAGACCGTCCTTTCTACGGATCTACCGTGGAGATTTTGCACACAACTCTTGCTGGATACAGGCCAAAATACCATCCCTCCGGCCACCCATACCTTACTCGAGCCCGTATTTCATTAGATCGATTCCTTGTCACGTGTTTTGCCTACGTATCGAGTTTAACCTCCTTGTTAAAATGAGTTTTGTTTCGATCATCGACGCGTGCATAACGATAACCACGGCTTAATGCTAACCATAAACGTTGCACGGTCGATATTAACGCGACCGCTTAAACCCGATGCCTTTGACATCGTACATTACTTTCAACGTTCCTTTATCTATGACACCGTGCTTCCTTCCCTTGGTCTCGTGCCAAACTTCATCCATTTCTTTCCTAACCTATTTCTTCCCTTCTGTCCGATTCTTGAACACTACCGGCCGTCTCGTATCTCGAGGATGGCAATGTCTCGCGCCTGTTGTACCGATCGAGTTACGAGCTGCCTCAGTAGTTGCTCAAGACAGCTTTTCACGATTAAAAGATTGAATTAAATACGAATTATTGTTTTTTTTTTGTGTAAATGTAGATTCTTTTTCATTTTTTTTCTTGTTAAACATCTCATTATAATCTGTTTGCTTCCCTACATTCGAAGAATTGGATATATCTTCGTGAAGATTTGTATCTTTATTTACGTGCATACGTTCTTTTATGTTCCTAGATTTCAATCAGAGTGGTGCAATTGACAGAAAGGATCTTGATCTTGCTATACAAGTAAGCCATTTTTTTGTGTTTCAATTAATTTCATGATTTTCAACGATTTGATTTGAAACGAGAAATCGATGAAAGGAAATTATGGAAAATATCATGTATCTACGAAGAAGTTTCCTAATTTTTTTCATAGCGAATCAATGAAAACAGAGGTTGGTCTGCTGACAATCCCAAGGCTCAAAGTATAAGGGATACTTTGCTTAAAATGTGGGATAACTTGAGGCAAGGGGCTGATACGGATCAAGATGGCCAGGTGAACAATTTCATTATTTCAATTATATTTTAACAATTCGAATATGTATCGTTAATATTTTTAATAAACAAATTTTATCGAAACAAATTTTATCGATAAAAAGATACTCGTATTACAACGAAAAGTTTTTAGAAATTATATCTTATTAGAATAGATGATAACGCTCTTTTTATATTTTTCAGGTGAGTCGAGAGGAATGGTTCCAACTGTGGGAAGAATATGCGAAAAATCCATCGAATCCATCCGAATGGCAAGAAGCATACATGTCTGTGACGTTCCAGTTGTTCGATGCATCCGGTAAGTTTATTATTACTCTCAAGAAAATATGAAAAAATAATTGAAATGCATTTTTGTCCAAATCTTTGAAAGATTCGTTAAATATTTATAAAAGGATTTGATAGCAACGTCAAACAGAAAGTTTCATTCAAATAATAAACAATGATCGATACAAAAATATTCGAAACTTCTTTACATCCTACTATATTCAATTTCAGAAACACGTTTGCTATTTTTGTGCACGCGATACGCACACACTTTTTATCGTTGATTTTTATTCAATCTTTTTTTTTCTTTTTTTTTTTTTTTTATAAAAGAAAAATAATCTTAATTGTATATCTTCTTTCAGTTTATATTAGATGTCACTGCTTCTTTTTACAAAAATTTTCAATATCATCAATAATCTTTCCAACTAACGATCCAAAAAATAAAATATATTTCGGAATAATTATTTCAATTTTAAATCAAATTTATCCAAATCTCATGAATTTTTATATAAAATAAGAAAAATCATTTTTTTTTTCATCGTAAATAATCCCTCGAATTGTTTACAACAATTGGTTCGAAAGATGTGTGTTTGTGTTTCTGTTTCTGTCAGGTGACAAATCGATCGACGAGAACGAATTTTGTAACGTGTGCAGATACCACGGAATCGCGGAGGCCGAGGCCAGAGAGGCCTTCAAAAAATTAGGAGTCGTAAGTGAAAATTCACCGATTCGAAACTTTACGAAAACCGCTAATTCCATTGAATCGTTTCTCTTTGTGCAGGGACAGGAAATTACCTGGGATAAATTCACCAACCTCTGGAAGCAATATTTCTCCTCGGACGAGCCGAGCGCAGCCGGAAACTTTATTTTCGGAAAGACTTCCTTCTAACTCGCTTTAAACCCGCGGAAAAGTCAACCGACGTGCATAATATATATATATTATATTATACTTCCTTGAGTCGCGTTATATACTTTCGTCCATTCTGTTGATTTGGATCAAGCCAAGCTCTTTCTGTTCGACAACGAATAACAAACTATTAATATTTTACTTCTTAAAAAACTATTATCGAGAGGATTATCGTCATTTCTTTTTTCTTTTCTTTTTTTTTTTTTTTTTTTCATAGAAAATTTATCTTCCTTTCCTTTTTTTCTTTCTTTCTTCGACGATTAAATAAATAAGAACAATCGTCCGCGCGAATTCGCCATCATCAATCGAAGAGATGTACGTTCAAAGATGTTTAGCGCAACAGCGAAGAAGAATTCCTTCCGCCGCGGTAATAAATTATAACCTCACTGTATGTTTGTATATGTAGCGTTATTTAAATGTAAGAGAAATGAAAAAAAAAAAAAAAAAAAAAGAAAAAAAGAAAAAAAAAATGATCGTGACTCGTGACAAGCCTCCTTCACGTCCAGTGGCAGAGATCGTTGTGCTTTCGGAAGTGGGTGTAATCGAACGATCTCGATTTTCGTTCGTCTACAGAAACAACAAAATATCTCACTCCATTCGTTGAACAGACGATATTTTCAGAATTGAACTTGTTCGGAATAAAGCATAGCCGCGTGTATTAATGGCTTCAGAGTTTTTTTTGTGTAACGTTGGGAAGAAAGAGAGAAAAAAATATATGGCGTGGAAACGAATAAAAAAAAAGAAGAAAACGAGAAAAAGGGAAATAAGGAACAAAACAAAGCAAAAAAAAAATTATGAATATAACTTCGTTCGTAATTATTGGCAGAAATAAATTGGAGATGGATTAAGAAGTGAGAGAGAGAAGAAAAAGAAAAAATGTTGGCTTAATTATCGTGTAAGGAAATATTGCAGAAATGAAGTGTTATATTTTAAACGAGTTTCAATATTGCCCTAAATGTGTCTTGTATAGATATTATTATATGATGTTATACTGAGAGATAAAAAGTACATATACAGAAATATATGTATAGATAAATATACAAGGTGTTAATATATTTGTGGAACATCTTTGGAGGTGGCCAATTCTAGAAGTTAAATTGGTATAACAGAGATTGGTATAACAGAGGTAAGACAAAGACAAAGTGAAATGGTTCTATCCTCGTCTCGTTTCATCTAATACGAAATTAAATTGTTTATAACTCAATAAATGAATTTGGGCATTTTGCATTTGTTTTGGCTTTCAGGATCGAATTTTTAAAGATGTTTCATAAATATATTAATATTTTGCACATACATGATGTACCTATAGAGATATATAGATAAATATATATATATACATATATATTTATATGTATATTTGAATAAACAGACGATAGACTTTTCAATAAATTATAATTAAAGAGATTTTTAAATTTTAATCGATGTTGACTAGTGAAGGAGGAGTCGAACAACTGAACAACTGGTACGTATTTCAATTTTAACCTATTTAATATTTTATTGCCCGATTTTTCAATGAAATTTTTAAAATATTATGTTACTGTGTTTAATTGCTTTTAATTTCAATCTCCTTAGAAAAAAATTTAACTGATACATGACATTATTATATTAATATTAAAATAATATAAATTATCGATAATCATTTGAGCAATAGAAATTTAATGAATTTGTAATAAAGATAAAAATATGAAAATAAAATGCTCGCATTCATATTTGTATACACAAAATTTTAAATAGAAATTTAAAAATTAAAAATTCTTCAGATTTTAATTTATAGATAACTTATTAGAAACTATTGTAATGACGTGTTTAAAAATCTTTTCTCAATATTATTTTTTTTATTGGTTTTATTAATAAAATATTTTTTATTTAAATTATAAAGATGAAAACAAGAAACATGTGTACAAATATGATTGAGAGCAATTTACTCTTTAGTTATATTCTTCAAAACTTTCTTGTGCTTCAAGATATTGAATAACGATGTTGTTTCGCGACTTAATATAACCTGTCATGTAATTCTGAATGTATAATAAAAGAAAATTGAAAACAATAAGTTGATTTTCTCGATTTTCAACAAGAAATAAAGAAATAAAGTAAATAACAAAAATATTGATAAATTTTAATAAATTTTAGATATCATTGAACTTTATTGTTGCATATATTTATTAGTTACGTATTAATAAAAAATAATAATCAAAAAATTATTTAACAAACGGATGCGTAGTATTTTTATAAATTCTTGAAAGAAAGATAATAATAAAATGAAAAAGATAATAAATTTGAAAAATGATATTTTATACTTTATTCGATATTTATACATTCGATAACGATGTCACAGTGATTCTCAGTATTCTTACATAGAGTGATTAAGCTACAATTTTTCAAAATTCATATTCTGGAAATTATTATATAATAATATATTATTTTAAATGAAGAATATAAGGATGAATTATGTAATCAATAATTAAAATAAATTATTTTTTATAGAAAAAAATATTGCATACATAGTTGCATAATATAAAAGGGAATATGATTTAATTTTTTTTGTAAATAGATATATGAAATTAAGCTTTGTTTTTTTAAGGGGAATATTATTGCTATTTCTATAAAAAAAAGAAAAATATTGAGTAACTAATAATAGTTTTATTAATAATAAAAAATTATTATGAGTTTTGGAAATATTTTGATATAAATTTTGTAAAAATTATTGCATATAAAATAGAAAAGCATGAACAAATGAATGATATTTCATGTATACTTTTATATTTAAATTTTACATCAAATTTAAAAAAAAGTATCTCTTAAATTAATAATTTTTACTATAATTGGCTTAATAGTTTTTTTATGGAAAATTGATTAGTGAAAAATTAAATAAGTTAACATTTATATTATATTATATATTTATATGTTTACTTGCAAAAAAAATTGACAATATTGAATTATTTAATCATTAAGTGATTTATCTTGTACAAGAAACAAAACTTTTATGCAGCATGCTTTTTGAATATAATAAAAATGCTCGTTGTTATTTAAAAGCTTAAAAATCTTAATAAAAAATAAATGAATAAAATTAACTTTTGCATCTATTTTTATCTCACTTTAATTAATATATAATTCCATTGAAATACATCAATAATTCGTGAGAACCACTGAGACACTTTATCGAGTGTACTTAATACCCCTTTAAAGTGTTTTCCTTGAAAATGAAGACTTCAATAAAAGCGAAAAGAAACAAAAGAGAAAGTAGAAATTTATTCACGTTTTGCCATGAATAATTGTCTTTTATTTATTGTGCTATTAATCAGAACAGCTATTAATCCAATGCATTGCATTACAATAAACACGATTGTCAGTAGAATGATATTTGTTATAAATAATCTACGTTAAAAATACATAATTCAGATAATTCTACAGAAAACTTCAGATTTCTTTCTAAATAATAAAAATCGTGGTCAAGATCAAAAAAAAAAAAAAAAAAAAAAAGTTGCAAAAAACAGAGGAGATATGTAATTTGTTTAATTTGATTGCAAACAATTTTTGATTCTAGATACTATTCGATATCAATTTCACTATAAAAGATATGACGGTATTGTAAAAGCTTTGACATTTGTTTTTATTATTAATCACTGCCCGTTGAAGATACGTGCAAATGCATACATTGAAATTGTATGAACGTGTAAACAAAGCCGGGCATAATCTGTTACAAGATTAAAAAAATATAGAATGCATAATGAAAAATCCTATTCCACTGTTTATAGCATTGTAATGAAAAGAGAAAAATTGAAAGAAAAGATGAAGCGAAAGTTTAAATGTCACGCTGGACGTGAATCTTAATAAGAAAAAGAGATAAATATAATCGCTGATTATTATTCGATATATAAAAATATTAATGATGTTATTGATTATCTATAAATCGTGTTGATAACAACATGAAAAGTAAATAAAGTTATGTAAAAACTAATTACATATTAACACTTTAAATAAAGATGTCTGTGGACTAAAGTTTCAACTTTAGGATTAATTATTATTCCTATCTCCTGTGTTATATTTCTTTATCACAATGATGTCTATTATAGATCTTTAGCATATATTAATTTAGTTTTTGACAATAATTATAAATTTTTTTAATGTTTAATACTGTATATTTAAAAATGAGTAAAAACATAATAGATGAAAATTATACAGTTATTAAAGATTCTTAATTATACATTAAGATTCATTATATAATCCTTTTTTTTTGTTTCTATTTCTCGGAATTAATAATTAAACATAATGCAAATGATATAAAGCCATCTTAAGAACATCTTAAAGATATCTGCTTCTACATATATATTTACATCTTAAAAACAAGTTCCAAATAGCTTATTCTTATTCTATAAATCAATAAGAGATTACAAAATACTCACCGAATTTTCTTGCATATTTTCTTCATATTTTCAAACTAACAGCATCATCTCTATAATAAATATATATATATTTATAACTATAATAATAAATTCGACATTAAGAAAAAAGAGGTTATCTTAGTAGTAAATTTTTTAAATTACTTATTGACATATAATTTATTTTATTTTATTGAAAAAGGAATATGTTTTACTAATCCTAATTAATAATAATTATAAAGTAATTATGTTTAAAATATTCTTAAATTAAAATTCAAATGTTTAGTAAATGTATAAATGATAGAAAAGCATGATTTCAATTTTAAATATAACTATTATATATAAGCAAATATCGTTGTAATTATGTATTTTGAATAAAGATATTCTTAAATCTATTAAAATTTTTATGCAATAAATATTTTACCAATTTATTTTCTCTCTGATTAAAAAGAATATATTTCCAATTGATTGAAAAAAAGTAATACGGACACTATGCACAATTATCGCTAACTTGAAAAATACATATCGATGAAACGATTAATCGATATATAGTTCGATTTTTAAGTACATTAATAATTTACCAGTTTGAACTAGCAGCACCATCTGTGTTAGTTCAATAATGAATATTCAACGTTTCATTATCTCGTTCTCTGGAAAGGTTTGAAAACAAGATATGCAGGAAAATTCGGTGAGTAATTTATATTATTCTGATTAATTTCTAACTTTTTTATCTTCGTTAATAATTATCGTTTTATTGTTAATATATTAATAACATTTTAATATCGTATAATACTAAATTTCTAACCTCCATATCTTACGTTTTGGTTTGAATTACTCGTAATATTGATAATGTTTTAACTACGAATTGATTTTGTTCGTATCTTATCATTAATTATCGTCAGATAAACGATCAATTTTACGTATTATCATCACGATTTAGAGTCTCAGTATCAATTAAACCGCCGGAAAACTCACTATGGTTGACTCAATCACTACATGCATTGCATATTACACTGAAGCCTTACAGCCTTACTCGATCTTCTCTCTTTACGCAATATTATTTGCCAATGCAAGTTTTAACTTTAATCAATGTTAGAGTGAATGGTATAGATAAATGTAGTGTGTGAAAAGTGTATTGCATGATTTTAACGTGTTGATTGTTCATTTGAAGTTACTGCCCCGTAAGGTGATATAAGTCAAGGCATAATGTAAGTATGATGATTAAGGTTTTTTCCAAAAATCTATTTATCACTGACTTATTAGTCATTTCAAAATATCATAGAATATTTATATGTTCATTAATTTTTTGATATATTTAGATATCTATGTATAAAAGTTTCTGAATATTAAAAAATGAGATCATTATCAATATATGTATGTGTATAATATATAACTATTAGAAATATCATATTTCATTAATTATTAATAAAAAGAATTATATATTAATAATAATATTATAAATGAAATTTTTTAATATGTCATAAATGAAATAATATATTAATATATAAAACTAACATATTAATATTAATGATTAATAATTTTTTGTCATATTTTTTTTAACTGTTATTTTTTAAATATATAATATCGCTTTTATTTTTTAAACATATATTTTATACAAGAAAGTATTTTAAAATCTTTTAACAATTATTTATTAAATAATCCTTAAATATTTAAGAGAATTTTGAGTTAAAGAAAAATCAGAATACTACCAAATTAAATAGAATAATTTTTACAGGTTGGATTACAGTGATGAGTTAGAATTACAAAAAGAAGCAGACGAGGTAGAAGAATTTGCCATGACTTCCTTAGGAAGATTAATATTTGTAGATTTACATTGTAGACATCCAAAGTCTTTATCTTCAGATAAACTATCTGTAGATATTGTTGATTCTTTATCACTTGCCTTTGAGAATCTTTTTTATATGCCATTTGACATTATAGAAAATTATAGCAATACTCTCCATACATTGGATATTAGTCATAATAAATTTACTAGGTATGTATGTAGCTATTATTTTGAATTTTTATGTAATGTGCATGTGCATTAATGCTTTGAGAAATATATTTATTAATAAAAGCTTTACTATTTTTATATATTTTATTTTTTTTATAAAATTTTTAGAAACTTACAATTTTTGGGTGAATTTGAAAATTTAACATCATTAAATCTAGACCATAATAATATAGATGATCACACGGTGTTTCCACATATGCCAAAACTTCAACTTCTGTGGTTAAATCATAATAATATAGAAGAATTATATCCATTTATTAAGAATCTCTATGAGAGTGTACCCAACCTCAGGTATTTGTGTCTTATGGGAAACAAGGCTGCACCAAGTTATTTAAATGGTGGGACTTTTTATGACTATCTTCAGTACAGGTATGGAAATTAAAAATAATTAGGAAGATATTAAAATTTTATATTAAACATTTGCATGCATTCGAATATATGCATGATTATTTAATTTTTATAAATATTTTTTTCATAAATTTTCTTATAAAAAAAAAAGGTTATACGTCATATCTTGGTTTCCTCACTTGGTACATCTGGATGATAGAACTGTGACTCCAGAACAACGTCAGGAAGCAAAAAGGCTTTTCAAGCGACCATTGTTAGAAAATTTAACTGAATATGCTCCTCTTCCAGAATGCATTAAACAATTGCACAATAAAATTGCAAATATATTTTCGAAACCAACACTGCCGTATAAATTAAAACCAAGAGGAACAAATTTTATTGTTTAAACCAGTATTATATTAGTAATGGTCTTGCTTGAAAGCTATTAAATTTGATTAAGAAAAAGATTAGAACAATATTTATAGAAACTTACATTTTTTATTTTATACATAATTATAAGTAATTAAATATATACAGAAGTAATCACATGGGGCAGTAACAAAACAAATTTATTGTACAATTATTAAAGTATATACAAAAGTACATTAATTTAATTACATTAATTTTTCTGTTTACTTCAGTTTAAAAAATATAATTAACTCTTACGTACAATCAGATAATTAGTGACTATATAATATATACAAACTTAACGAAAATGTATTTAATTTATATTAATTAATAAAATTGAATTATGATTTAAAAGGTACAAGGTTAATAATGCAATAATGTTTCAATAAATATTATGTGCTACACACTTGTATAATATATATACATTAGTGTGCATTTAAAAATATTTTATATTGATAATAATAATAAATAAAATTTTTTATTATAAAATTATATATAATTATTTTTAATTAATATCTTTTTATCTATCCCAAATTTTTATTTTTTTGAATTATCTATAGATATTTTTTTAATCATTTAATTTAATCTTTATTTATTATTCTTATTTTTTTAGCACTTTTAGTTGAATCTTTATTCAACTGGAAAATAAAATTTTTCATATTTTATTTTTATAATTTATTGCTATATCAATATTTATTATTTTTCTGATATAAAATTGTCAGATTCCGCAAGCTCAAAGTTTTAAATATAATAATTTGTTTTTATATTTATCCAGAACATAAAAAATCTTTATCGAAAGATGAATATAATTTAATATAATATTAAATTAATACATCTTTGTTTTGAATCAAAAATTGCCAAATTCGGTGTAGTTTGCATATATCTTATTTAATATTTTTCCAATATAATAAATTTATATATACAAAATTAATACAATAATTGGTAATCAATTAATTGTAATATTATTTGTGTGCTTCACATTATATTAATATAAAAATTAATATAAAAATTCAATTTTTTAATTTTTAATTTCTTATTTCTTTTATCATTACATAAGATTATCTATTTAAAAATTTTATTGATAAAACTAATCTATATAATATTATATAATAATAGAGATTTCTAGATTTCTTTGCATTTTGTTATGTAATATAATAAATTTTATGATTAAACAAGCAGAAATAATAATATTATAGGATATACTTTTCAAACGTTGTACCTTGATTAAAGTTTTAAATTCATCGAAATTTATTTGATGATAACAAATTTTTATAGATTTATGATATATTTTTCAATTAATTACTTTATCTTTATAAGAGATCTTTATAAGAGATGTTTTTCTTTCAATCTATATGCAAACTACATCATATTTCGTAAATAATTAAAATAACATATATAAATAATAATAATAAACAAAAGAACTAATAATTTTAAGAAGAACGATCTTCAAAGATTAAAATTATTTATTTTTAATTTTGTATACAATTTTGCTATATGGAATGATGTATATCTTGATAAGAATTCTGTTCTAGAATTATACGATTATAAATCTTACGAGTGGGATCGTTTCGAGATTGATTCCGATATTCGTTCCTTAATAGGAAATATTGCTCAGACGGTCGTAAACATATGTAAGATAAGAAAGTTTATTGAACGTGTTGGGATAAGTCGTAAATTCCATTTTACACCAGAATATATTGCAAATAAACGGTACTTTGATAAAACACACAGTAATATCACGTGGCAAATTAAAGAGTATTGCAACTTCAATAAATTATGACTATATCTTCTTTCATTATAATAATGATTTTACCAAACAAGTGTTTTAATTTACTTTCTTTCTAATATTTCAATAATAATATAGTAGCACAATCTTCTGGATTTTAATGATTAATAAAAAGGACGTTAAGAAAAGTGATTATTTTTAAAATATAAAAGTACATGAAATATTATTTAATTTTTATTAAGCTTTGATTAAAAAAAAGAAATATTGCATATTATTTAATTTCAATAATATTCCTTGACCTGTACGTTATTTGATTTTGCTTTTCATAATTTTTTCTTTTGGATGATCTGAAAATATATCTACAAATAGTGAAGATATATTTAATTAAAAATTATATCAATAAATTTCAATAATATCGTTGCAAATGACTGCCTGAAAAATTTTCAAAAGGCTATCAAGGATGTAATGTAATCCTTGAAATAAGAAAAACTGAATGATATTTCATGTATTGTTATATTCTAAAAGACATTTTAAAGTTTACACCACATCTTTTTTATCAGTCTTCAAAATCTAGAAAATTATACTTTTATATAATTATTCTATATTGTCTATATTCTTTATCTATTAGTATAATATATATACGATTTAATGAATTTAAATTTTTTTTCTTTATAAAATAAATTAATAAAATTTTCTGAATTGAATAAACTTATTATATTTTATGTTAAGCATTTCTTATTTATGATTATTGCTATTTTCATTTTAAGTTTAATCTTTTATCTATTCATCGTTGATATTTGTATGATATCGTAAATTGTTTCAGCGTTTAAGAATGGAAATCATTGACATTACACGACATTCCAATTCATTATTTGCTGTTGAAAAGTTACATGAGGATTTCGATCAGGTAAGATCACTTGATTTTTCATCTACAATATATTTTGTTAATATATCTCTTTTTAATTTTATTTATTTTTCTTTTAATAAGGAAAAATAAATGAAAAATATAGTTATATACAGAAAAATATAAAAACAAAAATTTTTAAAAATTAAATTTTGCAATTTTGTTCCATATATTTAAAAAATAATATAACTTTAGTGGTTTTTTGATTAATTTTAAAATTTTAAAATAATAATTTTAAAATAAAAATATAATTATATCAGGGAAAAAATAAAAAAGATTAGGATATTGATTGTTTATAAACAAAATAATGCATTTTATTCATAATATAAAACATAATTTTCAAAATTATGTAAATATATATATACACATATATATATATATATATTATATAACTCTTAAATTAATTAATAATACTTCACGTAGCATTGAGATTATCTAGTAAATTGATATTTGGCAAATGTATAATAATTATCGCAGTTAATAATTTTTATTTCTTAAAATTCGAGAATGCTATATGTTGTGTCGTTAGTGTCGGAGCATAGTCTTTCCATAATGAAAGATCTATCGAAGGAATATCGTCACAGCTTACAATAGGATTACTGAAATTAACAAATTAATTCTTAAATAGAATTGTTATTAAATTATAAAATATCTGTTACAATTTATGTAGAAATAGAAAACTTACAATTGAGATACTTTTTCGAAACCTCTTTGTTGCATACGTTGGATATTATCACCATTATCACAAAATAATCTGGCTATGCTAGTTTTCCGAATCTCGTTTAATTGCTCTGCAAAATTATATGATCAAATAATTATAGTATAATATTGCTATTAAGAAAAAAAATTAGGAAATTTGATGCACTAAATTAAAACTATCGCATGAAAAATCTCAAAGGTTGTGTAAAAGTTTTAAAAATTTTAGCAATTTTAAATCAAAATTAAAATTAAGTTTCCAAAGATAGGATATTTACCTATAGTGAATGCTAATTCTTGATCACTTCTTTCGAACCAATAACGATCACCTACTCGCGTTCGATAAAATTGTTCCACAAAAATACACAGGAACGTAGGTCCAGTGAGTGTGCCTGGAACATGTTCCTCTAACGATCCTCCAACAGTCACTTCTACGTCATCAGGACTGACATATAATTGAGCCAATTTTTCTACGTTCTACAGTAACATATAATGATTTTTTTTTTTATCTAATGATTTAATGCATAACACAACGAAGTGAATTATCATTATGAATTTTTATGAAATTACATTTGCAATTTATCTCAGTTACATCACATAATATTTGTAATTCATAGTGGATATTTTATATCTGTTACGTAACAGAAATGCAAAAAAAAAAAAAAAAAAAAAAAAATAGTGTGAATTCTACTTATAAAGTGCATATAATGAATATTTTGAATTTTGATTTTAGTAGTGCATGTTATTTTTATGTCGAATTAGAATGCACGATATTAAATGAACGATGTATCGCTACACTATCGCCATTAACTATTAAATATCGAATATACTTATACATTTATTTATTTATCTGCTCACGCATTTCTTAAATTGAATCATTATTTTTTTATTCTAGTTATTATTCGAGTTATTATTTTTTCTCGCGAACTTGTAAAGAAATATCGTGTAATTTTGAAAGTTATTCATCGTAAATTTTATCGTAAAACTTTAAGAAAGTATAAGACAATTCTGAATATTTTTATCCATTTAGAATTTCATTTTTCACTCGTATGTGTTAGAAATTAAATATCTAATATCTTTCTTTTTTAAATTGTAAAAAGCAAAGGGTTCAAAAAGAAATATTAAATCATTTCTATTTGAATTATCTACTTACCGAGGAGGAAATATAATCTGTAAAATCTTGGAAGCTTTCGGCTCTTGGCAAACCGCAATATTCCCGGTAATTGTTGTACGATGCTAAACCGTGATCGCGATTCCTTTGAATATCTGTCGCACGAAGATCTGTTCCTAATGGTCTTCCATTTCTAAATAAAAAGTGAGTGATCTGGAATAAACATTGGACAGTTTAAATTCATTTTTGCAATTGTATTCAAACGTTGCTTATGTTACCTCTGGATCAAAGTATTGATCGCTGGCTTTTTGCGGTTGATAAGACATGCCTCTTGTCAACTCGTCCATATTGTCATTTTGCTCGATAATTATTGGCCTGTTGAAATAATCGCTGAGCCTCACGGCACCGTCTGAAAACCGGTTCTCGTTCACCAAGCTAATGGTTTTACGAGAGAGATACGAAATAAAATTTACATTTCGATTTATATTATCTAATTCAACGTGTTGTTATTAGATATTGTTATCATCAAAATATGCAATATTACAATGTTGGAAGAAGTTGTTAATTTGATTTATCAAATGTTAGAAGTTTAAAATATTAGTGGACAGTTTTGACGACTTCAAAATGTATTTGAAAAATAATCATTTGCGTCCATCGTTTGACAGCGTTGTTCATTTTTGTTCAAAAAATTGATAAATATAATGTCACGTTTGAGAAACTTACTCGAGGAAACCGGCGATAAGGGAATGGAAATATCTGAATGCTGCGTTCGAATGCTCGTTTAGAGTACTTGGATTCACGTTTGGATTATAATCGTTCACGTAATTGTTGGTTTTATACAAAATTTTGTTACCGTACGTACTCCTTCTGCCTGAAAATTTAATAGATATATTTATTTACACTTTTTCATGTATATAATTGGATTTTCACAACAATCTTATCTTGTTTTTTAAAAAAATAACGTGAATATGAAATATTAATATTAATTATAACGGGACGAAAATTAATCGTTTCACCTAAAAATATTGGCAGCCACTCGTAATACGAAATATATTGATGTTCAGCGATTAAAATTCTTCGGGTCTCTTGGAAAATTGTTTCATCCGTCCAATGAGGATTTAATTTAGTTAAGGCATTAGCGATACGATTATGCTCCCTAAGCAGTATTATTTGCAAAATGGTCAATTGAGTATTCTGGTTGACTCGATTATCGCCTGAAATACAAATTGAGAGATATTCTCTGTTATTAATAATAAGTAACGAAAAAATAAATTTTTACAGTATTTTTAAAAGTAATTAATTCAATACTGTGTATGAAAGAAAAATATATGCATTGTTACGTTCGCCTTTTCTTGGTAAAAAGAGAAATATACATTTTATTTTAATTATTCGTGAATTTAAAAGTGAAAAATGTTAGATGTAATCAGTAATGTATTGATATAAATGCAATTACTACATGCATTTTTTGAAAAGAAATCGGTGTATCTCATTTCATTTATCTGAAGTGAAATTTTGCAAAATGATTAAAAAAAATTTTATTTTTTTTTAAGAAAGATCGATGTAGCATTAAATCAAAATTAAACATCAATCTTTTCAAAACTATTTACGAGGGAAAAGATATTTTAATTCTAATATTGATAATTATGAGTTATGAACTCATAAAAACTCATAAAAATAAAAGAATAATTAATTATTCGTAAATTTTAATTAAAGATCAAAGATTACGCGTTTAACGTCATGCTATGTGTTTCATTTCCTTTCAATTAGCAATTAAAGGTTTCTTTATTTTTGTAATTCTATATCATTATATAAAAGTCAAAATACATTACAGATAGTTAATTATTATTTTATCTTATATTAAATTACATCGCAAGAAAATGATTTAGCTATATCTATTCTTCATTTTTTAATAATTGCTGAATCGTTTTAGTAGTCATTTTCACAATTGAATATTATTTAATCTTTTTCGAAATTCAAAGAATCCTTAATTCGAACGTTATATCTATAAAAATTGCATCGTTGAGACAGATTAACAAGATCTATAAAATCTCGAGAATATCAATTAACGATTAATAAAAAGAATTATATTTATTCCCTGCAATGATGTTATCGCAGGGAAATTTTATTAAATCTTACCTGCTAGATAGCAAACTTCGACAGGTTTCACTATGTCACACGATTCGGATGCGTTTGGTGCCGAGGGTAGCCATTCCCTGTTGGTTCGAACGTCCACCCTCAAACGTCCATTGACACCTGCTCGTAAATTAGCGGCTACTTGATCGCTGGATCCATAAACCAGGGAAAGATCCAAAAAATGTGTTACCACATTCAGCTAAAAAAGATTTAGAATCGATGAGACAAGTTGTGTGTGAAAGCGAAGTTTCAAGTTATTTTTAAATCTTCAAGTTTAAAATAAATTATATCGTATATCGTACAGTTATGATGACGGTCAGATTTGCTATTTATATCCGTGGAAACAAACGAGTAAAACCATTAAACGTAATAGCAAACCTGTTCTGCTGGTTTGAATCGATCTGAACAACCGTGGTCAAGGTCAGTCGTACTACGAACGAAGTTTAGACATCTTATGTTACTCTTGCTGTAGATAGGATCGTTGAAAGGTATGAGCATGGGATAACACGTTCTATGAAGCAACGATGGATCTTTGAACAATTGGCCGTCGTCGGTGCAACATTTTGTCTTGTGCGGCTCTGTACAAAAAGTAATTTAGAAATGAATTGTTTTAGTGATAGGTCAATAATGGAAATTATTTAGAATTTTTTTTTTTTTTTTTTTTTAATTTTTAAATGAAATATTCGTTGGAAATATTCTCTCTTCGTATAGTGGACGTAATTTATTGTTTATTATTCTTAAAAATATACTAAATTTTTCCTATTTTAACACGTTTAGTATAATTTATGAGTTATTGTTACGATGATTATAGGTTGGAGATTTTCAATTTTAATTAGGATTTTTAAAATACTAATCTTTGATTAATTGATTGGATATAGGAAAACTCATAAATTTGTTTCTCTTCTTAAGTAAACTTTAACTTAAAAAAAAAATAAGAAGGAATTAGGTAAAAATATTTGAACGTAGTTCAATGTGCACTTTAAAGGAAAGTGGTAAAACTGGAAAATGGTGGTATAGTAAAAAGTAGAAAAATGAACTATAAACTCGTTTATAGTATCGATTG